TATATATATACATGTATATATAACAAAACCGTGTCTGTGGTGTAATGGTCAAGAACTTCGAGGTAGAAACAAAAGGTTTGAGTTCACACCTATCTACGTATATGCTGGAAAAGTATTTCAACGAGTTTCCCTGCGTTTTCCAAGATGAAGTAAATAACTCAGTCTAGTCTAAGTGAGCCTAAGTAACAGACAGGGTCAAAGTACATGAGTCCGTTTCATGAAAAACTGAGGAATTTCACCATCAGTTGTTGAAATACATGCATGTAACTGCGACTCTGTATAAATCCGCACCATTGCAATCTTGCGTGGCCGTAAGGGCCTGATTTGGGCTGCGCTTGCACGACTTCACGCTCGACTTCACAGTATTTCTTCTGAGGATTTATTCTGAGCTACCCAACCAAATAAAAATACATGTACAGACACATCCTTGACTCAGAAGCGTCAAAGTGTTTTCAAATCATTGGTTACTACTATTTATAAGCTTTTTCAAGTTTAAAAGGTGAAAATATAGTGCCAGTGGGGCCTATTACTTGATATACATGTAAACGTTCACACTATTTTGAACCAGGGTATAACTATAAGGGAAGTCAACAGAATCGTGCCTTTGATTTTCATTCGGTATTGTTTCAGTATCTTTATTCAACCACGGGTTACAATTCCGTCCTCGTGAAGATGAAAGAGAAATTGATTAATACAGACATTCTTTTTTTGTGAAAGGCAGATTGAATATAATCAATTTGTGGCTCCAAACCAGCGGCGAAGCGTCTATATAATCAAATAATCACTGCTTCCCTTCCTAATTTTGAAACATTGTCGCTGTCAAATTCACCCATAAACGTAGACCTCATAAATTAAATGTCAAAAGACGTTCATAATCAACAATGAACAGTATGCCTAACATTAAGAACGGTTTCACGGCCACAGAAATAGCCTGCTCACCCCTCTCAGGCCACTCCATAAGCAGTCGCAAGCTTTGATTAATTAAGTAAGCTTAAAGTGAGGCTGGAAGAGTCTACCAATAGAGTGGAAGGGAACATGTGCATAACAGTCAAAACTGTTTCATTGCCACATATGCCCTGTTCACCCCTTTGGGGCCACAGTTATAAGCAATCACAAGCCCTGATTATGTAAGCTAACTAACACTGGTCGAGTCTACCTCACAAATGTGAGGGGAACTTACTCCTAATAATCTCTTGACTGCTGCAAGTGCTTTGGGAGACTTTATTCCTCACCCTGTTTCTCTTTCTCTCTTCACTTACCAATAAAAAGAGAACAGGGCTCGCAAATACGCAAACACGCTATGTCTAAATTAGACGTAGGCCTACTACAAAACGAACACAGTCGAAACGGATGTTTAAAAATACAGTAACTTGAAAATAATAAAAACAAAGCAAATTTAATCAAACTGAGTGGACTTTTTCGATGCAAGTAAATTCTTTCCTCACCCGAAATAGGCAATCACGTCAACTCAAAATCAATCACGCATAGCGAGACACTTTCCGTTATCACGTAGCGTCATAATGTCACATGACTGTGCTGGTGGTTTCTAAGAGATTGTTCATTGGCGCTATAGGCCAGGATTCTCGTTTGGCTCCCAACATACTTTGTAATTTATTTATTTTTTAATTTTAATTAATCT